GTGTGTGTGTGGTGTGTGTGTGTGGTGTGTGTGTGTGGTGTGTGTGTGGTGTGTGTGTGTGTGTCTGTGGTGTGTGTGTGTGTCTGTGGTGTGTGTGTGTGTGGTGTGTGTGTGTGATGTGTGTGTGTGGTGTGTGTGTGTGCACGTGTGTGTGTGGTGTGTGTGGTGTGTGTGGTATGTATGTGTGTGTGGTGTGTGTGTGGTATGTGTGTGGTGTGTGGTGTGTGTGGTGTGTGGTATGTGTGTATGTGGTGTGTGGTGTGTGTGTGGTGTGTGTGTGGTGTGTGTGTGTGTGGTGTGTGGTGTATGCACTCGTCAGGTTCTCAGGTTGCGTGTTTTGGTAAATTCTCTTCATGTTCTCTCTCTCTCTCTCTGAGTTTTCACACGTGTGGTGAGTATTCCTCACACTCTGAGTGTGAACATACGTGTCTAACGGGAGGCTCTCCTCACATTTCGTGTACGTGAATGTGAGCATGCATTGTGAGCAGCTCTCACACCCTGACACGTATGTTTGATGAGAGAGTCTCCTCGTGTTCTGTGTGTGCTACATGGATCTCTGGTGAACAGCTCACCTGACTTTGCACGTGTGTGTGAACACGTGTGTTTGGTGGAAGATTCTCCTCACACTCTGTTGGTCAGCAGCTCTCCTCCCGTTCAGTGTTTGTGCGTGAACATGTGACTCCGATGGCTGGTATCTTTCACGCTCTGTGTGTGAGTGCACACGTGTGTGTCTGTGTCTCCCCTCATCACGTGTGTGCACAGGTGTGGCCTGAGGAGCGGCGGCCTCACTCACGCTCTTGCCGACATCATCCTTGCTGCTCAGCAGCGCCTCCAGCTCGGCCCGCAATGCCCGGTTCTGGCGCTCCAGCTCCTCACGTGCCTCCTGCTCCTCTTCCAGTGCCCGTGTCAGGGACAGGGCCCGGGCCTCACGCTCTCGGCCCTCTGCCTCGACCCGCTCACGTTCTTCCACCGCTCGCAGTACAGCTGCCTTCTCCTCTGCCAGGAGCTTCCAGGTTGAAGGATATGAGGTGAGGGGAAACAGATTAGCTGAAAGGAGTATACAAGGGACGGGGAAGAAGGAGCAGCCAGGGACAGAGAGAGAGAAACAGAGAGAGAGAGACACATGCACAAAGAGAAAGAGAGAGGCAAAGAGGTGAAAAAGGCAGAGACACAAGAGGGAAGCAGAGGGGTTAAAGTTGCAACCACGTCCCACACCAGCTCAGCTCCTGCGTGGATCAAACCCACCAGTCCCTCAATCTACATACCCAAGAGAGGAAAGGATATTTCTTCCTCTTGTTAAAATGGACTTCAACCTTTACTGTTGTTGTTTTTTTAAAAGATATGGTAATTGGTAAACAAACTTACAAGACATGCAAAAAAGGAAGAGAAGAGAAATCATACTTAAGAGAAAAATCAGAATGAAAACAGACCCATATATGAGCTACATGTTAGAATTATCACACGAAGACTTTACTATGATAAGTAAATTTCAGAATAAGATGAACATAATGGGTGAAAACACAGGATTATTTTAGGAAAGATTTGAAACTGGAAAACAGAACCACACAGAAATGCTAGAACTGAAAACAAAGTATCTAAAATTAAAAAGTCATTGGATGAAATTAAAAGATGATTGGACACATGGGAAGAATCAGCAAATTAGAAAACAGGCCAATAGAAATTATTCAAACAGAGCGAAGAAAGAAAAAGATTATAAAAATAATTTAACACAGCTTTAATAACCTGTGAAAGAATATCAAGCAGTCAAACATACTTGTATCTGGAGTCCCAGAAGAAAGGTAAAAAGTAAAGGACGAAGTGAAACTGTCTTTATTCACAGAAAACATGATCATCTATATAGAAAACTCAAGGAAATCTACATATTTTTTTAAAAACCTAGCATTAAATAGTGAGTTTAGCCACCCATTCTAGTAGAACACTAGATTAATATTCAAAAATGATTATATTTCTACAAACTAGCATTCAGAAATTGAAATAAAAACAATATCATTCAAAACAGCATCAAAACCACGAAATATGTAGAAATGAATCTGACAAAAAGTGTGAAAGATGTACACTGAAAAGTATAAAACATTTCTGAGATAAATTAAAGAATATTTAAATAAATGGATATATATAATATGTTCCATGGTCAGAAAACTCAATGTTATTAAGATGTCAATTCTTCCCAAATTAATCTATAGATTCAGCACAGCCCCAAATCAGGAGTCTTTTTTTCTTAGAAACTGACAAATTGATTCTAAAATTCATATGAGGGTTTGGATCCCTATCCTGGCCAGACACACACAAAAAATTAAAAAATGAAATTATAAAGGATCTAAAAGAGGCAAAACAGCCTCAAAAA